AATAGGATTGGCTAAAAGTTTTACGACTGAGGTTTAACACGCGTAGACACTGTTTAATAAAGAAAACAGACTAGAAAAAGGTTGAGATACCAATCATAGATGGCAGGACCATTGCTGAAGAGGAAGGAAATATTTTTAAAAAATTTCTTATTAAAGGGTGCTTATTTACAGTCTAAAACGTATTTTAGGATTTTTTTCATTAAATTCCTCTTTTAAACTTCATTAAATAATACTATTTTGTTCAAATAATTAAATGTTATGCTACTATTTAAAAAATAAAATCTGAAATCCAATAAAAGATAAAGTTCTCTATAATTTTTTCAATTCACAAATGTGATTTTGCCCTCACGATAAGATCAAAATGGCCACGGCAGGTAACGGGTTAATGGATTCTATCTCAGTCACAAAGATCTTCAGCATCAACAGTAAATATAGGAAGAAGTCACAGCAGAATGCTCATTGCAATAAACAAGTACAGCTAGTTGTACCAGGCCAAATTGTTTATATCTTACACTGAATATTCCTCATTACAATTTTAGTTTTATTAAATGACACTCTTCATTAATTAAATTCATTTCTTACAAAATTATTCCTTTTTTTTATTATTTGGTAGGTCCTGATTTCAGAGTCCTACAAGTTGTGGTACAGAAAAGATTGTCACAACAGTAGTGTGCTCAATTTTATTTCTTCATTTTTACGTATCAATAAATGTAAGCAGACTTGATAGAGAAAATGATCACTAAGTCTATAGAAAGATCCAGTTAAATCTCCAACCTTGTTGTTTAGTGAGAATTGTTTATTGTAAGAACCATAACTTATTTCCATGATGAAAATTTTTTAACTACTTAAACAAACTAAAAGGATGCAAAATGTTCATTCATGCTAGACAATTTGAGTTAAACTTTTAATATTTTTAACTTGGATATAAATATCCTAGTGATAAGTAGAAAAATAATAACTTCAAACCACAAAATGAATAAATGGAAATAATAAAATATATTTCCAATACACTATTTACTTAATAAAAGTATACAAACAGTTACATGTAAAAAAAATATAATAATAAAAAAACATATGTGTACCATCATCATGGTAACATTACTTACACAGAGATTAAGTGGTAGAAATATTATAGCACACATACAAAAAATAATGAAGGTTAATTAGAAACAGACTAGAGAAAGATCTGTCAGTACCTCAACCGGGGTTATAGCCTTTCCACAGGCTGCACACTTTGGGGCAAAGATTCTGTAAAGGAAGAGAAAGCAAAAAAGTGGGTTAGTCTAGAGCCTACAGAAGTTCCCATGTTATGAATGTTAGAACATCACAAACTGATACACTCATTAACAATTTTGTTAAAAACAAAAAACATTAAAAACAGGACAGATTAGAAGTAGTTATAATAATATATCAAAAACTTATTTGTTCTTTCAAGTTATCTAAGGATGTTACTAATATTCATGAAATGGAAAGCTACACATTGTCTGGATGGTTATTTGCACCTATTTTGATCAATTTTATCACGTTGCTGTCTGTGATCATTCAACAGCTAATCAAAAAATATATTAAACAGTTATCATTCTCAATGAGTACACTGGAATGGACAGCAAATACCTGTTGTTTTTTTACCACAGGCAGTTGCAGTCCATTCCATTATACTAAACAATCTATCAAAAAGTTTTCATTCTCATTTTACATATTGAGGTGTTTGCACTGATCCAGATAAAAGTAATTACACTAAAGTTGGAAGGTATAAAATATTCATTTATTATAGTTCTACTGCTATAAACAACCTCATGAGCAGTTAAAAATCAATAAGAGCATTCACATAACTAAAATACAAATGCCTAAATAGGGGAAAAGAAGAACATGATTAAGAACACACACCATTTCACTTTGTTCACTAGGTGCATCTGATGATGCTTAGGAAACTATCCGAGGTGTAATTTGTTGTTGTTTTTCTACTTCTGCTCTTTGTCATTTAGTAATTTTTTTATAAAAAATATTTTACTCAAAAAAAAGGGAGGATATCAACACCTCATAAAGTCAGATTAAATATCTGTCCTATATGCAAAAAAAAAGAGCAATCTTGACGGAACATCATTTAGATTCTAAAAGAATAATGAATACCATTACCAAAGATTGTCACAAAAATAAATCCTTGCATATGCATTTCAAACAAGTCCTTTAAATATAAAAAAGAAAATCATATTCAACATGCACCCAGAATATATAAAAACTCTAAAGCGTCTCAAATATCACATCTTTGATAGGACAGCAGATAATGTTTCTTTAAAAATCATATCAATGAAGAATTTCACATTATCTTAGTTAAAGAATAAATTGTTTCTAAGTAACTACAATATTTTCCTGTTCCTACGATGCAAAGTCACTTCAGAAGTGATTCATTTAACAGAGAGACAATTTTTCACTGGGATTTATGATTTCACATAAAGAGATGGAAAATAAAGCTTACTTAACATCTGAAACAACGTTTAGTATAAATGTACTGAAACCAATTATTTCAAAACAGGTAGTGTTTATAGTGGGAAAAGAGGCTAAAAAAATTACACATTAAAATTTATTGACATATTTACCAAAGAAAAGAAAACTAGAGTGAACTAAGTAGTTATGTTTTCAAACATACTGTACCTGTTAACCTTATGAAACACAAACTATTTACTCTTTCTAAATTAATTTACAGAATCTTGAAAATTAACCAACCACAAATGATTAGAAGATGCTGGAAAAAGAAAAGTAGATTTAAACTAAGATTTAAATTCTCAATGATAGTTTTCTTTTGAGTTAAGGTCAATTTTCAGAGTATTGTTCATAATCACATAAAAAACTGAAGTTAATGGAGAAAAAAAACATTAGTAGGAATCTACTCATGGTTGGCACTTTTGCTTTTGATCAAGTGTTTGAATATTGATAAGAAAATAGGAGCACTGAATTTCTATATGAAGTTTATTACTAATAATGAGGTTGTTCTGTCATGTCAGAGCCTAAATCTTTGGTTTCTGTGGGCCTAGCCATTATTAGCCCATCAAAAGCAAAAAATCTAGGGCAGAATTCTGCAATCAGATTTAGAATAGCAGTTTAAACCAATACTTGAAAGTGAAAAAAGCTTTCATTTTTTCAAGTTTAGTACAAAGATGTTCCTCTGGTGTTAACACTGTTCAACATTACTCATAATGTACCAACAAACCTTCACCTAGTGTGTTTAATATCAAACTGAATGGACTGCTTTACTGCTTCTGTCATTCTCAAGTTTTTAATAAATTAACTGTTTGAGAAAAAAGGTAACTCAGAACAACCAGAGGTTTGATTATAAATTAAAAAAAAGCAGGATAAATAAAACCTTAAATTATCAATCCTTCTGATGACCATGCTTTTTTTCCCTGCATTTATCAAAAAACTAATAACATAAAAATCTAATGATCACAAAAAAATCATCAAATACAATAAAAACTAAGCAACAAACTTTAATCACTCATTTTAGAATTAAAATACTATATATATATACATCTAACTTTAATGCATTGGCTAAATCAGTAAAGTTCTTTTGAGTACTTTTACCTAACTGGCTGCTACTCTTTAGTGTTTCCATTTTCAACACCAAAAATCATTGGTTTATACCTCTAACTTAAATGCAGAAAAAAAAACTTTGAATTACCCTCTGGCCAATAAGAGGAGGGACTAACACATTATTTGAATTTTTGATAGCAAAAAGTAAATAGGATTTAAAAACTTCATAAACTACATAAATAAAAAGATGGACTTATCTTCACAAGGGACAAAGGCATAACAAGAGTGTTTAGGTATAAAGCAAGTGCATACCTTCATGTACAACTTTATTACATTACAGTTATTTTTATGATGTCATCATTAACAGTGTAATTCAGTTTACAGAATATCACACAATACATACAATCCAGTTTACTGACTGATGTCTACACATGTTCACACACCCTTATAGTAGCTTTATCAATAGGGTTGCACAAAAAATAGCATCTCAAGATCCCACATAATTCAATGAAGTTAAACAATAATCTCATTATGGATACTTTCAAATAAAATATTCTGATGGTCCTACATGGTAGGCCAAGCTAAAAAAAAAAAAAAAAGAGTAACATTAATACTAAGTGGATACAATGTTGCTAAGAAACTGTCCTGGCCCTTCACTGCTCAAGTACTGGCCCTTACTTAGAATCTAGTGTTTCTGTACTCCCTAAGTAAGTCATACTATATTATTTGTTGTTGCTTTCTTGAACAGCATTGTTTATAATATCAAATGTCATTATTATTTTTTTATTGTTTATTATCATATTGATTGTTTTACATTGTTAGTTTAATATATATTATTTAGGACTAACCTAAATCTTCTAAGCTGGCCAAACCTTTCGAAATATTATTGGGATTACAGCCCAAAATATTGTTAAGTGCAAGATTACCCAACTGATCAAACAATGCTATCTAATCTTTATAACTAGAAACGTAAGAAAAGTATGTTTAATTTTTTTAGTTTTTGATAGGTTTTTAATTTCACTCTTAGTACATAGCATTCTCTGATCAGGAGTTAATGTTAATTATAAGACAAACACACAATTCAGCAGAGAAAACAAGAATTGTACATATTAATGCTTCTCTGCTGAATAATAAAAGGTCATTCCAAGGTATCTGTAATAACTTTTTGTTCCATTTTTTCTACAGCTGCTGGAAAAACATGCTAAGATTTTAGTGACATGTACTCTTAAAGGATACAAAGTAATATAAACTAAATAAATCTATAGAAAAGCACACACAAAAGATGTACTTTAAAGATTAAATTGTTATCAAACCATGAGAGAAAAGTAAATAAAGAAAGAAACAAAAGCCTTTCTACTCACTTGTGATAGTCATTAACACAGTAAATTTTGTTATTAGGATCAATGGTGAATGGAACACCATCCAGACACTCATTGCAGACACAACAACGAAAACAACCAGGATGGTACGACTTCCCCATCGCTTGTAGAATCTATGAAAGACAGTTTTATATACAAACTACACAATTCTAATAATAATATATTATATCCAGTTACATAACTAGTTTTATATCATTTTGCTAATTATAAAATTAAGTATTATGTTTGCGACTTAATTTTTTGATTATTTTATCTATTTGAAGTGCACAGTTTATAATACTGTTTTCAATATTACCAAAACCAGAATTAACTAGATATTAACACTTTTAGTGTTAACAAAATTGTTCTAATTTTTCTCCAGAAAATTACAATAGTTAAAAGCAAGTGATAATAAGGTTTACAGTTCCTTTGGATAGAAGTTACATATTATTTTATTGGAAAATTTGGCAACATAATTTAAAAGTTAACAAACCTTGTGTGCATTAACCCTTTCACTGCCATACGTGACTTTAGTCGAATTCCAGGTAGAGTGCCGAATGCGACTTAAGTCAAATTCCTGACACAGTTTCGTTTACCAGTCTGTAATGTACTCTGTGCCACACCTGTACGGTTTCTAGGCAATCACAATGTAATTTAGTGTAGTTTCCTCGATCATAGGTGTTATTTTTGTGAAATTCTTGACTTTTGTCCCAATTTGAGGGCACTGACCGGAACCATGTCAACAGGTAAATTTAAACAAAAACAATGGCTTGCCACAGAAGATGTATTTGGCAAAATAATGAGAGATTCAGACTCAGAATTGAGTGAATATTGTGATGACAATTGGGAAAACAGTGACACAGATACCGATAATGCTGTAAGTAATAATACACATGATGTAGCGCACAGGGACAGTGATGATGATGGTAGCCAAGGAGACGTAGCTGATGCTGATCATGAGTGGGTCATTGATGATGACTATGACAATTATATCCCAATTTGGTGCCCAAAAAGGCCTAACCCTGTGATTCCACCTTTGCCTGACAGTAACTACCCTTTAGATTATTTCTACTTGTTATTCCCTCAGGAAGCATTTGAGTTTATTTGCGAGATGACTAACACCTACACCCTGGAGTTCTTTGATAATCCGGCAGACCTCACTGAAAATTCTTGCTACAATGATTGGGTTGAGTGTACTACAGATGAAATCAAAGCCTATGTTGGCTTGCAGATAATGATGGGATTGTGTTCCAAGCCAAGGATAAGTGAATACTGGGCAACTGGGAGTATAGCCCAGTCCCCTGGTTATCGAAATTTACTGCCACACAATCTTTACCAGCCAATCAGTTTGTTCCTTCATTTTTGTGAAAATTCTCAAAGAGTTTCACGTGGAGAGGAAGGATATGATCCTTTGTAAAACTGCTCCCCTCATGAACATTGTGAAGCCATTGTATAAGCAGTATTACATTCCACATCGTGAACTTGCAACTGATGAATCAATGAGGAAGTTCAAGGGACGGATATACTTTTGTCAGTACATACAAAACAAACCCATAAGGTGGGGTATAAAACTGTGGTCATTGTGTGAGAGCAAGTCAGGTTATCTGTTAAACTGGGATGTTTATACTGGTAGAGACAACAACCCTGTGGCACCAGACCAAGGCTTGGATCATAGTGTTATTACGAAACTGATGGGCAATAATGGATACTTGAACCTCAGCCATCATTTATATGTTGATAACTTCTACTCCAGCCCTGGCCTCTTTGAAGCCCTCAAGGAACAGGGTACTAGTGCCTGTGGAACTGTTAGATCGAATGGAAGGGGACTTCCAGAAGAAATTAGACCAGCAAGGTTAAAGCTGAAGAAAGGTGATGA